TATTATCCCAACATGCTGTCCCAACACGAAAACCCCACCCCACGACGCACACTTACCTTTCTTGTCGGACATTCCACTTACCGCTCGGATTCCCGTCTTAACAGGACATTTCTCGCTAGGGCCCTCGTTATTAACTCTTGAAGCAACCAACAACGGTTAACCCTTCTATCCTAACCAAAAAATTGTACGGCTTGATGAAAATAATATATGGACCGCTCGCTCATGATGTTTGTTGCAAAGAATCTCGCATGAAATGTTATACATATGTCACATTGGTTCACTATCCTATCTATAATGTCGTGACAGTAGTTTAGAAACTCTCCTAGCACTCCAAATACCGGCAACAAAATCACCAAATATATAGCATCCGCAGCTACCATGAAATAGGACACTAAACAACATTTGCAGCAAGCAATCAATTTATGCACCAAGCACACTGAGCAGAAGCAACAAGCTATCAAGATTTCTTCTACTCACAGAACTGACAAATGTGACTAACTCTGTAAGAAGCTTTGCCTTCAGAACCTAAAAATGGTGTAGTCCCATCACTACTTCAGCCGCTCTCTGATCTCAATAGAAAACATGGAGATCGTCTAAAAAACATAGTACACTTCGGCTGCACTTAAATAAGCTTGCTAAAAAAAACTTCTCAAGTGACGTAAGAAAAAATATAAGTAACTTCCACTTAACAGTCGCATCATTTGACTTATAGATTTTCAGTTAGCATGGCAACGGAAGTGAGTCTATTGATTAAATTACATAGTTCATTGTTAAATGCTAAACACGGATTTAGAAGAGTTTCCAATGCTCATCTGTCAAATATGCTACTGTATACTTAGAGCATCTCCAGCCGCCCCCCGAGGAGCCTTTTTTCTCTGCCGACAATGCAAAAAGGGCAAAAAATGGCCCAGCCGTGCCCCCCAAGCCCCCCCAAACAATTTAAAAAAGGCTCACCCTGTATCCACTGCTAGTAGTGTCTATAAAAGAGCTCTTTTTCCCTACATCGGTGAGTTAATACTTTGATCTCTACCAACTGGAAGCACAGATAACTATATTTAAAAACAGGAACATCTGCTATCTTCATGAGTAAATAAACAGTAAAAAGTAGATGACCAAACCCAAATATTTTCATGAATGTTACAGGTCATTTTTGTTAATGTGTAAGTACATCAAACATGTTCTAACAAGCAGGAAAATTGTAGAAACATTCAAATGATGAGCAGTTCCTAATTCCTATCATGGAATCACTGCATGATGCATTGCACTGAGCACCTTCTGTGTGATATGGAGATGGGCAGAGGCAAAGATCAAGGAATTAAAATTCGAAAAGAATAAATAAGCTATCAGTAAGCCAATAGAAATCGACACAGAAAAAATAAATAAGTTTACTTTAGTAGCCGATAGGGATCGACGCATTTGGAGACATAACTACCACAACAAAGATTCCAGCGTTGTAATAATAGGCTTAGTGCTGAATTATACTCCTTAAAATATGTCTCGGGCATTTTCTTCAAGTACCTTGTAGGCAACAAGAATGACAATGATTCTAGGGAATGAAATTCTCTCGCAAATAATCTGACTTGTATTGTAAATTCACCTAGCTGTATGAAAATCAAAACCAATCATTAAATAGGTTATCCAAAGAATTGATAAACAGACTTTAAGAGCGGAAGTGTTTTAACCTGAACTTCCAAGAAATCATCAGAGCAGAAGTGGTTTCCCTCCCATCAATAAACTTCCAGGTGAACAGGAGAAGCATGACCATAGAGAATCATATCTGAATACCTTAATAGAGAGTCATAACTGTCCCTGGCAATAGCACATCTCTTTGTCCCTCCTATATTCTTCAATCACATCAGAATACTAAAATTGACCATATATCGTTTTCAAGAGAACAAAAATGATCGATCAAGCAATTGGTCTAATTCAAAAGTTTGTGTCCTTCATTCTCATAATCGTCAGTCTTCTTAACCAACTTCTTCTTGCAATACAACATCTTTCTCCCAGCCCTCAACCCCATCCATCTTCATTCATAACACCATTTTTTAACCCTCTTTTCAAAATCAATCAGGTGAATATTTGAGAGCAGTAATTTGATCTCCCTCCTTATTGATTAGTAGACATAATATAACATTAAATCTTTCCATGTGCAGTTGCTGGCAACCTCTGTCATTTAGTGAAGAGGTGGTAGCTGTGGTGTCAGCAAAAAAATTAAAAATAATAATGCATTGATGTATTGCAAGTTTCTTGAGACCAATATAATAGCTTTGAAGATTTCCTACACCAATCCCGGCCTCATGGCATTCCAGACAGCCTATGTAGATGAAGCAAGTGCAACATATCTTGTAAAAGAAAGATATATCAGCTTCACAAAGGTACTCCTGAAAATATCTCAATTAAAAATACACATCTCTCTATGGTTCCACCTTCATCATAATGTTACCGTCATATGGAAGAAAGATATATATTACAAATATCATCCATATGTCAGTCAAAGGCTGAACAATTACTATTATGAAATATAAAAATATTAGACGTGATGGAAGATGGTTTCAAAAACACCAACGACACGCACTCGTATTTTAAAGTCTTCATACTATAGAGTTATCTCCCTGCAAGTTATGTGTGCTAAATAATCACAACACTTGGATAGCACCTACACATGGGATTATATATTCAATTCACATAATCAGTTCTTCTGCTTCTATAAATTAAGAATTGCATAAAAAAAGTACGTGTCTATCTAGTAGTACTCCCTCCGTCCAAAAAAGCTTGTCCCTCAAATGGATGTATCTAGCACCAAGTTAGTGCCAGATACATCCATTTAAGGGACAAGCTTGGGACAAGCTTTTTCAGACAGAGGAAGTATAAGATAAGATTTGAATTGTTGACGCAAGGCCGGTGAAGCCGTGCATGGTCCACTTGCAAAGTGCTTTCGAGCATGGACGTCGTGCACATAGTGCAAAGCTGGCTGAAGGAGTCAATAGATTGGATCCCGGCAAGACTGCACATACTTGACGTTGGCTGCCCCTACCTTGATTGATTCCCATGCTGGCAAGGTTGCACACATAGCGGAAGACTCGATGGATTCTTGCCGGCTAGAAACGAACAAAAGCAAGCACGCAGGTGATGCCTATTTCTTTGCAACAGATGCGTGTCGCCTGACGCAATGGGGGAATACAATATGTATATAGTGATTTTACCTCAATAGATATTTTGGTAGCTCCACTCCATTAGTATGAAATTTGTGATGTTGAAAATCTGAAAAAAGGAAAATAATGATCTCAGTGGCAATTGTGTCAGCTGTTGAATAGGTACGACATTTATTTCAGGATTACAACTGTTCTCTCCCGTTGAACAATGGCTTGAATTCTTTCAAGAGAGAACCATACAGTAAAAAGCTTCAGAACACAATGTACTCTGAATCAGGTCATATTCAGGCCATATACATCGAGCTTATACTACCAAAAAATATCAGCTAGAAATCTAGCAAGTATCTTCAAGGATCAAGAACATGAAAGAGGAATAATGACAAAATAATATTGAATCAAGATTTTTTTTACAATGTCATGAACCTGGTGCCAACGGCGTACTCGCAGTGGCCGATGAGCCTTTGGCCACTGCCTACACTGCGCTCGCGCACGCCGCTTCGCTGCTGCCGCAAGCACCGGCCACACTCCCCGCCGCAAGCAGCCGAAATGATGGAACTCCATGCCATCATAAGCCATTCCAGATGTTGAATTAAGACTAGTACGACATCCCATATTTGAGGATTGCACCCGGAAGATTGCACTCAATACGTCAGTTGAAACCAAGATTAATAATACAGATACAAAGAAAACAAAGATAAGCAGGAATAGGATGTTGATGGCCTGCTCATCTTGGTCCCTCTAGACCCAAAAAGTTCGTTACCTTTGTAGAAAAAAGATTTTTTTGGTTCCCCTGGTATCTAGCACCAGCGACAATTTCCTATTGTGGCGACACCCCGACATGGCCCTACTTAAGCTCCTTCTCGTTCTTGCTTTGGTTCCGGTCCGGCAAACCATACCATATTCCAAATATTTTTACACTGTAGCATACTAAAAGTTCTCATGTCTTCCAGTACATTATCTTTTGTAGAATCATCATATATAGCTCTTAGTCTATGTCCTCCCAACCTAATGCAAAATGAACAAAATCAGATATCTATACATCAATACACAACTTAGCATATACTCCCGCCGTCCCATAATATAAGAACATTTTTTAAGCTATATCATGGGAGGGAGTAGTAGACAGAGTACTGTTTCAAATAATGGTCCCTAAGAGTAAGGTTAACGTTCCCAACCAGACTTG